ATTATTATTTTTTTTGAATATTTAAGCGATTTGTTTTTTGATTTAATTTTTTTTAATTTTCGACTGTCTTTTCATTATTCTTTCGTTCAAAATCAAAATCAAACCCTTTCGTTAATAATTTTATCAAATGAAAATGAACCCGCTCAATTTGAGCTTTATATTGCTACTTCTGACACCAACACTGAATCTCGATCACTTACTCCTATGGCAACTAATGGCAATACAACTACTTCAATGTCATTCCTAAGTAATCGACGTAGTAAACTTTTTTCAGAAGGTTTATTTATTGAAAGAGAATTTTCACCAGAACACCCAAAAGCATTAACTCATCGCGAAATCTTGTGTCTTTCATGTACAAAAGTGTGGCATCGCAAAATCGGTGATTCTAATACAACAAACCTTTGGCGTCATATTGAGAATCATCATCCTGATCTTGATTCACGAAAGCCTGATAAATTAGATAATATTATTGAATTTACACCAGCAAACTTTCGTAAGCTATTAATTAGATGGATAGTTTTAGACAATCAACCATTTACAACATGCGAAAGTGAACCTTTTCAACAAATGATAAGGCTTTTAAACCCACGTGCATTAATTCCTACAGGAGATACGATTAAAAATAGTATCATAAAATGTTTTAGAGAGGAACGTATAAATATGATGCATTTATATCAAGATATTCCGGGAAAGATTTCATTTGCTTTAGACTCATGGACATCAACAAATGTTTATTCATTTCTCGCCATTACGGGACATTGGATTACAAAAGATTGGGTGCTTCAAAGTTCTTTGGTAGATTTCGTGAATATTTTGGGCCCTCACTCCAGAGAAAATTTATGTGATGCATTCGTTAAGAGCTGTAATGAATTAGGTATCTTGTCAAAATTGTTTGTAATTACAAGCGATAATGCTACGAACAACGATATCTTAATGAAATATTTACAAGATATATGTAGAAGTAAGAATATTTTATTCGATGCTAATAAATCCCATTGCTGTTGCATCGCCCACATACTAAACCTGGCTGTGCAAGATATCTTGAAATGCTTAAAGGCTGACAATGTACAGGCTGAAAATGATATTTTGAATAATATTAGCTCGCCTGTAATTGCTGGTGAAATAATTCCCAAACTTCGTAAACTTGTGGTTAAAATACGTTCATCTCCTCAGCGCCGAGAAAGATTTTCACGTCAAGCTCAAGTTGCTGGTCTTAAAAATCTCAATTTAATTTTAGATGTAAAAACTCGCTGAAACTCCACTCACTATGTGCTTATACGAGCTCTAGAAATGCGTGAAGCTCTAGATGCAGTTGCAAGTATTGATAAAGAGCTTCAACCATTAACACTTGACCATAATGAGTGGACCAAAATTCAAGAAGTTGCGAATCTTTTAAAAATATTTTTATGAGCTACGCAACTAATTTCTTCAGCAAAATATCCTTTACTCGCCTCCATTATGCCAATCTATAACTATTTAATTGGAGAGCTTGAAACGTATTACAACAACCCATGTTTATCTCGTGAAATAGCTACAGCTGTAAATGCGGGTCTAAAAAAGTTAAAAATATATTATTCAAAAACAAATAACTCAACCATGTATACGATTGCAATTATACTCGACCCACGGCTAAAATTAGATTATTTTGAAGAGAACAACTGGAACAGAATCTTTATTGATCATATTAAAGAAAATTTTCTTTCAACTTATAATAATTACTATATGTCATCTTCATATGAAACTATTGAACATTATCAAGAGAATTGTATCGATGATGATGATTTCGATTATCTTTTAGAACATATTTATGCCAAAAAAAGAAAGCTTGATTGGAAAAACTGAATATCCACATTTAGCCATTATGGCTAGGGACTATTTGGCAATTACGGCGACTAGTATTCCAGTAGAGAGAATTTTTTCTGAAGGTGCTGATTTAGTCGTTCCAAAAAGATGTAGTCTTGAACCAAATACTATCCATGCTTGCATGTGCTTGAGATCCTGGTGGTCATAAAAGAAGAATTTGACATCTTTATTTAACAAAAAAATACTTGGTGTTAAAGAAAAAAATTAAGCGTCTTTGCTTAACTATGAAATTGTAACTTTGCTTAATTTGTGAAAACTGTAATTAGTATGCTTAATCTAAATTATAAATTGTTATAATATTGCTTAATTTGCTGAAATAAATTTATACGTGTATTATCTAAGTCATAAAATTCTTGTAGCATTACTTAATTTTATAATATAAATTACTGAATTATTGATATCAAAATATGACCCGATATTACTCGGGTTTGATTTTGATCGACCCTAAACCCGACCTGAATGACCCTTTCGGAGCACTAATCAGGATGACTATAATGAGTTAGACTGTATTCGGAGTTCCATTTGAAAATTCTGGCCGTTCGCCGAGAACAATTTTATTTGTAATCTCTTTACCTAACGAATAACCAACAAAGAGCTTTTTTCCGGCTGATATTTAAGATATAATTACATTAAATCCATTGTCTCTTTTAAAGATCAAACTCTATGTCATAAGATTCTTTATACGATTATATTACGAAATTCAACTAATAATAATTAAGAATAATTATTAAACATATTGAAATATAAATACATAATTATTAAATTTTATAATCGTTTGACTATTAATTAGATGATACAGATAACTTAATGTGGGGTTGATGAAATTTGGGATCTCCATTTCTATCTATAAACCTATTATACACTTTAATTAATAAACCTAACCCAAACTCTAATTAAACTATTATATAAAGACTGACCAAGAAATTTTAAAAATATTATAATACTGTAAATAGTCAAAGTTTCAGCATCAGCCCCACAATAAATTCTAATTATAAATATTAACTATATTATACAATACCAGTTTTATCGTAATATTTCAACAGTTTTTCTAATATATATTAATGTCAGTTTATATGACAACAAAACCTTAAACATACTGATGCCAGAAGTTAAATCGGTATCACTAATAACAAATAAACCATAGTTTAGTTTTCTTTACGATTAATATCTTGTAACGACTGTTTTTCACTTAGTTCATCATTTGATCTCAAATGTGTGTTAGAATACATAAAAATGGGACCAGCAACACTCGTTTCTCTAGCTTTTTTGTATTGGAAATTACGTTCACCGCCACCAAAATTGACTTCAACTTTGCATTCACCATCTGCTCCAACAGTTGGGAACCAGATATGTTTCAACCCAGTAAATGCATTACCTAGAAATTTGCCATTCTTGGTAAAGAAAACAATGCCAGAATCAGGATAATAGCCACAACCTAAATAATAATAATAATAATAATAATAATATGCATATATGTAATTAAATAATTATTCAAATTTGCAGTTCTATTCAAAAATTCTTTTCTATTGTTTACCTATAGTATCTCCAACTTTACCCCATACTTCGGCATACCTTCGACCTCCAAAGCCGTTATTGTGAAATTTGTTTCCATCATCAGAATGATAACCTACCGAATGATCATTCCAACCAGG